GAACTTATCACTCTCTCCTTGGAGAAAAATCATGAGAGACTTCAGAAGGTCTGTTTGAATAGGTATAAACAGTGAAGTGGGAGAAGTACTATCTACAACTATAATTAATATTCATTTTACTAAACCTTATGGCTTTACTGAAGGTTCTCTTTTCATTACTCTGATTATAAAATTTGAGTACATGCAATGAGAAATTGTCTGAATTAAATTTGCTATTGAAGGGTTCTTATATTGTATTTATTTGCATTCATTCTCAATGCTGCCCTTCCTATGGACATTCAAAATTGTTTCCAACAATTCAAACTAGAAATTTGTATGATAGAAATGCATACCTTATGAAGTTTTCCAAATATCATTTGTTTGATGTGAAATATTCATGATTTATATTGAGTTCACAACCATGCATAATTTGAGTTCATAATTACTAATATTGCGTCATTGATCAATTCCCTGTTTTCCAGTGATGACTTTTTCAAAATATCAGTATTGGTACAGTACAGTATTTTTGAAATGGCATAAATCCTGCATATGTACCACATCCTATATACAAGTGTTCATGAAGAGACCAGACTGATGTTCTTCTTCAGTCAGCATACTAGTGTCCTCTATACCAAAATTAGGAAAACTTCCCCATTTGTATATTTCTCAATCTTGCTGTCATGGTGCCAGCCATAAGTTGGAGCCAGTCAGTTCTATAATCTTGCATCTTCTTATTCCCTGTACAGCAGTATGTATGACAAGCACACCATAGAAAATTACTCAGGAGCCACAGTTGATGTTGGAATTCTGAGGACAGTCAATGCATTTCATCAGCAGCAACACTTTCATGCCATTGAATTTCTGCGTCCCCAAAAAACCAACCACTCCTATAGAAAGCTGCAAGATTTTTGACATTTGGCATTTCTATCCACCCAGGGGCTTACCCTTAAAAAAAGGGGTCCATGCATTGACTCCACGGAATAAAAATCCTTTCATTCCTGGGCTGGCCACCCTGTTTAAGATGGCAGCTGATTTAATCAAATCCCTCAAAAATTTCGCAGCTTTCTGCAGGAGTGCTTGGTTTTTGGGGGACACAGAAATTTGACTGCCTGAAAGTGTTGCTGCTGATGAAATGTATTGACTGTCCTCAGAATTCCCGCATCAACTTAGACTCCTGGGTAATTTTCATACAGACTAGTACATATATATGCAAAAGAATTAAAAAAAATCTGTGTTTTTCATTTATATATATATAATTAATCTCTAATCCCTAATCCTTGGGGAGAAATTTCTCAGAGTTTTTTTTATTTTGAGTGAAAAAAGGCATCTCCTTCTATCCTTGTTTTGACTTACATAGGGGATCAATATATCCTGCCCTGTCCTGCAGTTGTAGCCACTCCCCCCCAATATTTCATCCAAAAATTTTTTTTCTTCTGTGCTGTCCCCAAAACCTCCCTAAGTCGAAACCTCCCTAAGTCGAAACCTCCCTAAGTCAAATTTTTTCCCTGGTCCCTTGAAATTCGACTTAGAGAGGTTCAACTGTATTTATTTATTTATTTTATACTAGCCCTTCTACTCTTTTATTTTGGTCTCTGCTTCCAGAGATGAGGCTGATGCACTTCAACTGTTACGTCAAATGGAAACTCACGAGCTCTAGAAGGTTCTTTTTTCCCCTCTTTAGTTTCCCTTGAGATGTTTGCTACAGTGTTCCCCTTTTGGAAACAGGGCCGCGGGTTTGAATAGAAGCCCAGAGAAACAAATACCATGTTCACCCAGGAAACTTTAGATTCACTGCAGTGTTTTTTGAACATTTTTTCATTGAGACAGATACATTTCATTTTGAGGGATGTTTAGAAATGATTTTCTGAAATTTGAAGAGATCTGGTGGCCGCATTTCCAAAATTCCCCCAAATGTATTTTTTGATGTAAAAGGTTATTTTTTGCTTTCTTCTGCATAAGACTCGGGAACTGCAACTAAACAGCTTTGAAAGATTTTTTTAAATAGAGCTCTGAACTTTCAAGAGAGGATGTGATTGAATTTCCAAAATGTTCTCACATATATTCTCCTATGTAAAATATATTTTTATGATTCCTTCTGGAAAAAAACGCGGGGAACTGGGACTAAAAAACTGTATTTGACCACCAGAAAAATCTATCTTGGCTTTGCAATCCTTGGGTAACAGAGAAATTTATTCAAGTTGAAGAAAAATTGTGTATGCTGGTACTTATAATTCAAGTTTAGCTGTTCAAATTTTGGTTTTGTCTGAGTGACATGTTTGATTTGATTGATTCTGTGGGATTTCTGCGCTTAACTTTTTGATTTGTTTCCTTGCACTTGCTGCTTCTGTTGTGTTTGCAATTATCTGTGATACATAAAATGCTCACTCATCAACCAATAAAATTCACCAGAAAATGAATAAATACAAATATTACAATTAGTCTACTTAATTGGAGATGGGCTGGAAACCCAACTGATTGTTGCGTTTCATTTGCCTATTCAATGTGTCTTTGTCTTGGCAAGAATTCTTCTATAAAAAAAGCTTGGAAAATGATTTAGAAAACTTTTTAAACTAACATGGGAAAATCTTTGAAAAACCCTATCAAGACTTTTTGGAAAATGACAATTTATTCCTATTATATTCTTCAATGATGTGCACTTGACATCATCTTCAAGAAAAACCAAAAAATACGACATCAATGGACAGATGAAAACATTGACGGTGCTATTTCTGATGAGATAGGTAAAAAATACTGAAATATAGCAAGATAATATGTTGGGCGCTTTGTTCTGGCCATGTCTTAATATCAGTCATTAAGCCGTGCTCAAAATGTGAGGCAAACCATCAATATCTTAATTTTAATCAGCTTCTTTCCAAACATAAACTTTGGAAATTGATGCATAACTGTGAATTTTTGCTTCAAAATGCAGTGTTGCAACCATCATGTACCAAAACATTGGAGTTTGACTTGTGAACTGCGAGGATGAAATCAACGCGTTGAATTCTGGGCTACACAAAATCCAGAAAATGTTACTTAATTTTTTGGTAAGAAATCAAGAACTTTTATGGCACATGATGGCGAAATTCCAGCCAATAAATTATATATAAATTGTGGCCCTAGGCAGTGTCCTGTTTAAGGGAATATTCCTTTTCTTGGTGTCTCAGGAGGGCTCCGACCAGTCACAGATGACTTTTCTCAGGGCCAGTGACACTGAAAGAACTGATTTTTGTCCCATATAAGTGTGGGCTTTAATAGATAAGTATAGATAAGTTCATTCAAGCAGTGTATAGTATACACAGGATTTTTGTTCTTGCCCGTTTTTCACTGTGTTAATACAATGCTGGTTCCGCATCCTGCGTCCCCAGACTGCTACCATGAAAATCCCCCTATCAGAGACAAAAATCTGGGGGTCTGGCGGCGAGGAGAAGGGGACTTTTTTGCCAATTTTATGGAGCCGTAAGTGTAAGTGTAAGTGTTTTGTGGGATCTTCGCGGGGGAGAATTCTTTGAACAGCGCCGCAAAAAAAGCCCTTTGTTTCCCTCCTTGCATTCTGGGAAATGTGCAGATCTGGTCATCTCGACCCGGACCTGCATTCTACCCAGCAGAAGGCTATTCTGGTCTTGTTTAGGACACAGCTTTGGTGGCTGTCAGAAAATGATGAAAAAATATATTTTTTCAAGATTCATACAAAATCACACAAATACCCAACGCACTCTTCCTTAAAAATCTCACTGGGACAAGCGGTGCCTGAACCTGAGTTTTTCCACAAGAAATTCCAAGCAAAAAAAAAATGAGCAAATTGCAATAATTGCATGTGAATACATGCAATTTATATTTTTTGCGCAAGGTTTCTTTTTTGCGGGAATAAAATCGATATTTTCAGAGTTATTAATGAACAAGTGTGTGTCTGTCAAAAAAATTGGGAGTTTTGTACCTTTACCCCCAAGGCACATTCAAATTATAAACTTTGATTCTATGCATTGTCTTTTGGAGGAATGAAGCGGTTCTTCGTACCCCTTGCCTTCAGGCAGATATTAACAAACATTAGCACGCATTTGGTACGTTTTGCATTTTTCTTGAGCTGCTCATTCTCTGTTCCTTCTAAGCAAGAGCACACGCCGCACCAGGAAGGACAGTGTCCGCTGCCAACAACAGGAGCAGAGACAACCGCATCAACAAAGTGCCATTCAAGTAACACGCAGACATGGTAAACTAACCGGGAAGTAAACGCTGCCTATAATTTCCTGCATATTCCTGGGAACGTCCTTCTCTGATCATTTCCCAACAACGCAATCCCCATCACTTTCAAATTCCATGATTCAAATCCCAAGAAATAAAAAATATAATTTGCATGTATTCATATGCAATTATTGCAATTTGATCACTTTTTTTTCTTTGAATTTCTTGTGGAAAAACTCAGGTTCAGGCATGAACTGTGGAAATTTCTTCCTGTTTTTTCAAGTATACTAATTTCTGCATTTTAATAGAGCAATGAGTGCAGTGTGAGTCCTACACCGTTTCATCCCAAAACAGCCAGGCTCCACTTTCTGAAGTTGCTGAAGCATATGCACAAGAGAGGGACTGAAGCTGCATGGGGAGTGAGGCAGGGGGAAGGGGGGGCAGCGTAAATTCGGCAGCTCATATGTGAGCTCCGGCGAGAAGTCCACTCACGTAAGATATATATTTTAAAGAAATAATTACAATTGCCTTTGTCTTGCCAAAATTTGAGATGAAGATACCATCCGTAAGGTACTTCATTGCTACTTTTGAAAATTTTAATTAGCCTGGAGAAATTTCCCGCCGGCAGAAAACGTCTGCGGACCAGTGCCGGTCACACTGACCACCGGTTGGGGAACACTGATCCAGGGTAATCAGCCAAACTTCAACTGGAGGCGACATCTACACAATGACACGAACTACAGGATCAGGAAATTGGCGGCACCACACAGGGTTTGGTCTGAGAATCCATCATTCCCGCTTCATTCGATCGAGAAAGAAAAAATCAAGAAAACTTTCCCGATTTACAGTATAGGCAATACTTTCAGGAAAGAAACTTCATCCTACATCGACATAGAACCATTGAAGTTCATTTGAAGAGATTCATCTACACATACTTCTCCTGCATGTGACATTAATTGGTAATTTCTTTGGCCTCAATCGCAATGCGATTTTTTGATTACATTTCAAGCGTGACCTCGGTCACCGCGATCTTGACCTTCGGTAAGCATCAAGAAAATTCTTCGGTCAAATCTTCATTGGAATAGTCGGCAAAAATTAAATCACACAGCGACAGTATTCGGTGTGGGCATTCCTCCACCACCTCCGTTCAACCAAGAAGAATTCCCGGGACTCGGAAAAGTGGGTGGGACGTCATTCGACGATACCCAGCCCTACGACGACACGGATCTAGGGCTAGATGAAGATCATCACACAGCAGACGAAAGTCTTCCTTATCGTCACGTGGGCGAGACGCAAGTAGAAACTCCTCCACAAAGCTCGGATTTCCCGCCCTCAGTGCAATTGTTCGGCGTTGACTGCTTCACGCGTTCTTCGCGACTCGAGTGCATTTTGGGCGGCAGTCCGTAATTTTGCAACGGAGGAATTGTTTGTTACACATCCTACGTTCCCCCCCACCGACGTAAGTAAAGTATAATTACATGCTGATTTCTGCTCAAGATTCTAACACGAGACTTGACATAATTTCAACTCCACGAATTTTTTAAATTCATTCAAAAAATTCGTGGAGTTAAAATTATGTCAATTATGACACTTGAGCCATGAAGAAATAATGTCCAGTATTATCAGGAAACACTGCTTATTGAAACTCAGTTTTGAAGAAGAACACAGTAACTCGTCTCAACATCGAACTCGACAAATTAAGCACAGTCGCGGCTAGTTAAAACTCTTCTCTTTTTTGTCCATAATTGAGAGCAAAACTTTTAGACCCGAGGAGCCCCCAGAACCAATCATTCGTCGTGCTAAAAACATTTCCCGACTACCAAAGTGACAACATTCAGTGAAATGTTCTAATACCTTAAAGTTTACACATGCAACTTATTGCCAACTCTTCCTACACCATACTTATCGCATTTCCACGATTTACTGTATAAGCACCCCACTAAGTTTCTTCATGCACTACATTAAAATTCCATTAATAAGCGAATTTAAGCACCCCCTCCCTTTCCTTGTTTTGACATTCCAAGACCCTAAGATTTCTGAATAAATCCAAGTTTTCTCCCAGAAAGAATTAACGGCGTGAAGACAAAGTGAACAAAGGCCATCTGTAATACACAGTACCCAGTCATCCGCCATGCAGTCGGTCAAATCACGGTCACGCACCCGCCGGTCATCAAGTGTAAGGTTTTATTTTGATGCGTCAGAATATTCAAGCCTTGCACCTTGAAAAAATGAATTGAATTATATTCGCGTAATACGGTATTCATCCACTAATCAGCCCTACATTAAGCCTTGCATTCAATCTTTGATTCCGGGAGCCCCAGCAAAGTTCACGAGCCCATAGGGCTCCGCGGAGCACACTATGAGAACCTACGTGTTTATGAACGAATTTCGGGGATTTCTAGAAATGATAGAACGTCAGGGATGCACATTAGATACCGACAAGTTTACAGAAAAATGCGGGAGTGATGACCCAACAAGTGCAGCAAGCACGTACTCGTGCTACTGCAAAGGGGCAGCAACGAACCCAGCTAAGCACGACGCCAATTATGCAAGTGGCACGCCAAACTGCAACCGACACGCTGTCGAATACTGTACAGTACATTCACGGAGGTAAGTTCATACAGTTCTTCTTCACATTTTTGGAAGAGAGCTTCATAATATTTATACATTAAATGTTACGTCCTCATCAGAGGTATAAATTTCGAAAACTTGAATTCATGCCAAACAATGTATTCGGGTTAAAAACATTTCGGTGAGCAATTTCTTCGCATAAAAGGTGGCCTGTTACTGTATATGATGACTTTTGAGAAGGACATGAACATAAATGTTATAATAGTGCAAGTAAGACGTTCCATTTGAATAGTCTCGCCCAATAGTTAAAACAAAAATCCGACAGTTCAAATCAGTGCTGCCCAATGCAGATTTGTCCAAGAGCCACATCAATTCTTTTCTGGGGGTCAAGGGCTACACCGCAGAGGTGAGGAGTCCTTGGGGACCAGAATAAACAACTTTTGAGGCTCCCACTTGTCCCTTTCCAGATCAAAATTTCCAAATTTCATTCAACGCCATAGATTGAATTGAAAGCATAGTTTTATGGAATTTTTGAAGGGCAGAGCAGCATATCGAATTTCCATGTTCACCCCAATGTATACAGCATTTCAAATTTTGGCGGCTGCCACGTTGAAAATTATAGAGAATGGACCGCGGGATGGAACGAGAGTCTCCGGACAGGATCCGGCCCGCGGGCCGCATATTGGGCAGCGCTGGAACAAATTACCGTATGCTTATAATCAAAAATTATAATCTTCGGCACATTTTTCTTAGATATTCAAGCTCAACGCCAGAAAAGAGCCTCAAGTATCATATACAAAGCAATGCTCCTAAATTTTCGTCAATATTTGACCAAAAATTCCTCTTTTTTTGGTTTCAGACGAAGTCATCTGCTATTCTTGCGGAGACGCAGAAGCATGTCTCACAGGAGGAACACTGACACAATGCGGGGCAAATGCTGGTGCTCCCAGGAAGACCAATGGCTGTTACACGGTTTACAAGGATGCAGACATGCTTAAAATTTCTTTTTTCAAGAAGAACCGAATGTCAAATTTGTATACTGCATAAACCTTCCACAGGATTTGCAATAAAGGAAAACTGCGCCGACAAGATCGACTTCGCAGACGGCGAGTGCCGAATCGAAGAGAACACGGATAATTTCCGTTGCTACTGCAAAGGCGGCTTCTGCAATCAATTCAATGCAGTCTCCGACTCCAGTTCTTATTTACTTTTCACGAATTCACTACAGTATTGCTGTTCGTCGTACTAACTCTAGCTTCCGTGAAGTGATATTTTCTCGAGTTTAATTCCGACAGAAAGGCGCTTCGTCGAATAATCTTGCGATTACGGCGTTATATTTAAATGATTTCTGCCATCTGATACAGACAATCTTTAATTGTTTATTGCTCGCGGGAATGGAATTTTTTCATGTAATTGCGGTAAAAATAAAACAAGCTTTTCCATGAGTTCCGATCTTCAAAGCATTTTTTCAATTTCAGTTTCGTCGTAAGTTGGCTTCCAACTAGAAATGCGTGAAGGTCGACGTAATTTCAGAAGCCAATTCTCTGTCCACTAATACAGAATACAGTAATTGAATGGGTTGGGAATAGAGGTGCTTTCTGGGAAGAGCATAGTAATGGGTGCAGCATCGTACAGCACATCTCCCATTGACGCGCACTTTCTGTGAAAAAAAAATGGAGGAACAACGAGGTGGTCGCGATGGAGGAGAGCAAGGAAAAGGCAGAGGACGTGGAATAAATGAGGGTCAACAATCGGGCCCCCAAGGACAACAAAAAAAAAAAAAAAAAAAAAAAAAAAAAAAAAAAACCATGATGAAAAGCCATATCCGGCAAAAATATCATAAAAAAGATTACGGTACACGTTTTCTGATTGCACTGAAAAAAAATCGACTAGCAAGAATGGGTAGAATAAGCTGGAAATCTTCAAGTGAGCGCGGAATGGAAGACCACAAGCTAGCCCTAGTCTACAACCTAATACCTATAAACGAACAAGTTATCGTTGAAACGTTATCTTCCGTTTGTACGCGTTTCAAATCAAAAACTGAAACAATATTTAAAGCAAGCATTGACATGAGTCCGTTACACTAACAATTCGGGGCAGTAGCAGAAAAATATCCTCAAATATTCCGAAACATAAATATGTATTGAACAAGAGTAAAGTAAAAAATCATGCTAACCTGCATGCAATCCGCGGGCATTTCTGGAAGCTTTCCTTGCGAGTACTTCTGAACATCGGAGATATCCAATAAGCCTCCAGCAGATTTCAGGGTAATCAAGAACACACGATCCTTACCCTCTTCTTTGTATTGCACCTGAATTTAGAAATAAAGAAATATTGCAAGGTGAACCAGCGCATATTTCATGAAAAAAGAACACAAGTACACTACCTCAAACGTGCCAACTGATTTTAAGCCGGGTTGTACAGCATAGCAAATCTTGCTCCCATCAAATGCTGCAATATTCCCGAGAGCTCTCTCATGCTGCAACAGGAACAGCTTCCAAAGTTCTCTGCGAAGATCGTCGAAGAATGCGAGGATCAGCACAAATAGTTCTGTAATTGCTTCACACATTTCTGCACGCTGAATTTGGGTGCTCGATGTTTATTGCCGCGAAGGGAGTTTCTCAAACGTCCGGTGGATCACACTGTGTTTTACGGCAGTTGGACGAACAGGACTAAGGAGTTTTAGCATTTTACTGGAAAAGAAAAGGTGTCCCATTAAAAGTTTTTGTCTTTGAGCACATAGGAATGATACTTTCCAACATCTCAAAATTAAATATTTACTGGAAAAGGAAATGAAAGAGAAAGTCGATGAAGATCATGAACGCAATCTAACCTGGTCAACCACTTGGGCATCCTGGTCGGCTCGCTTTTGGGTTTTTTCCCTTCTTCCAATTTTGGTTCGATGGTCACATCATACATGTGAAGTTTCAGCTTGGGATTCTTCAAGCTGACGACGAACTGGTTGACGAACAATTGAATCTTCCGACCACGGTCACCGGGCTGCAGGGGCCAGACGTAATCAACTGGAAGGAATTCAAGTTAGAACTGCAGGATTAATAATCCTGTACGCTGGGCGACCGTTTCCGGCAGAATTTTCGAAAATAGCACAAAATCACCCCATACTTTGGGTATTTCAAGATGACAAAAAAATTGAAGTAATCCAGATGTTTACCAACAAGCCATAGGTTTGCTATAATTTCTGGAGAAAAAGTACGACCAAAGATTGAAAAAAAAAACCAACTATGGTCCAGTAAAATCTCACCATTCGGGGGACTAGCATCCCGTTTTAGACCTCCAGGTGATGCCGGGACTGGTTGCGGTGCTTGCATCACACTTCCCTCGGGAACAGAAGTAGGCTGAGTTGGCGTCAGCATAAGTCCTTGTTGTGAAAATGCAGGTGGCCTGGGTCCCCATCCGCGTGGCTGAGGAACTCGACCAGGGGCCACTAGCTGAGGTGGCCCGGGAAACAATGATGGTTGGCCCTGCTGTCCCACAGCAGCAGGTGGCGTGACAAAGGGCATTTGTTGCTGTCCTGGAAACCCAGGTGGCGGACCTTGTGGTCCAGAAGCCCCTGGAGGCGGACAAGGTCTCTTTCGCTGGGGCGGGCCATGTGGTTGCTGGTGTTGCGGCGGACCAGGTGGCCGGTGTTGTTGTTGCTTAATGCAGCTTAAAATCTGCAATAGTTTAAGCATTCCTTCATGTTGCTGCTGTTGTCCTTGGGGGCCCGATTGTTGACCCTCATTTATTCCACGTCCTCTGCCTTTTCCTTGCTCTCCTCCATCGCGACCACCTCGTTGTTCCTCCATTTTTTTTTCACAGAAAGTGCGCGTCACTGTTCAATTTTCCGCAATTCGCAAATCTTCGTTTTCCTGAAAAAATGTGCAAACTTTCAACTTCAATCAATTCTTTTGAACCTTCATACCCCGGTTCATGAACTACATACAGGTATTGCCTCAATCATCCCGAGCCCGGACCTAACGTCGTATCAATCCTAAATTTAGAGAGATCCCAAATTAAACCACGAGAGACGCCAAAAAATTGAAGCGTCATCACGCACAAAAAATGTTAGGCTCCAGCAAAACATACATAATTAGAAGAATCTGGTCAAGCATTCAATTGCTGTACATACAGATTGACTTTTGTCATGGGTCCATTGGATCCCAGACAAAGGAATTGAATTGTGCAGCCATCAGAATGCAAGCTTTGAATAAGAACTCAAACTCTTTTCAGAGGAGTTTATTCTCATTGCCCAATTCATCAATTGGCTGTTAATTCAATATAATGGCAGAGTCAATTATTAAATTGGTTGGTTAGCTCAGAATATTAAATGAGGTTATTTAAAGTTGATAGGCCCTTTACCACTAGGTTCTGACATTTCCTCTCCAAGAGGAATGAGGGCTTTTATACCCAGGTGTTTGGACTGGGTCAGGAAGAAATCAGGTGATTTCTTCCTGGCTCGGTATTGGCCAAATCAGGCAAAATTTAAGAAGTGATGACCACTTCTTTTCCTTGAGTGAGGCTCATAGTGAGTCTAGCAAAAAGGGGTTTTGCCAGGCTCACAGGCCTTGGAAATCCTACAAGTTTTGGGGTCCGGTTTTAGCTGGATGCTGGAGCTGCGTCGCTTCGCTTGAGTCCGCAACAACTCTCTCTACACCAATCTTGTCTACAGCGATTTTCTCAGCATAAAAATTTTTTTGTGAGTCCCATAAGAGTCTCTCCCGAAGTTTTAGGGATTCTCTACAACGATTATTTCAAGTCCGCCCTTGGATTTTGTTGCGTAGTCCACCTGAGTCACTTTAAAATAAATAATCTCATCAGCCCTAGATTCATAACCAACAAATCGAGATGAAATTGAGGCGATACGAATGCACCGGAACAGTTTGGGAAGATTTCAAAATTAGCCAACAGGACTTCAAATGCTTATTACGAATGAAATCACAAGGTTAATCAGCACCACTTATCATTCGCAATATCAAAGATCAGAGTTGTGATACTGCGCATCCACAGCGTGGTTGTCTTCTATTCGAGCATCGTAACGAATGTAAACGTCCTCGTAGCTCTTGTCAAGATCCGTACTGCCACGCTTTGGCACTTTCTTGCGGTTGAAGCATTCTTTGGCAGATGTGTCTGATTTCAGCGCCTCACGACCCATTTTGTCCTCCAAATCAAGCATAAATCTGTCAAAGTCAAATAAAATAGATACGCGGGTCACGAAAAGACACGCATTTGAGAACACAGTAAGGCCCTTCCCTTACCTACTAGAGCGACACCTAGACGACCCTACTGGAGAAACTCCAAACCGAAACAAATTAACCCTTGGCACAATTAACTTTCCTTCTCATGGACTTGGCGACTCAATACGTAGCATATTCGTAAAATATGAGCAACATTTCGTCATTCTATTCAATTTAGCCGAGCCATTTCCTT